ACAATTAATTATTTAAAAGATATTTTAGGAATGTACCGTATTTCCATAATATAACAGTATACAGGGTGTTCAAAAACTTTGGATACGGTCATTATAGTCTAATTGGTAATGATAAACGTTAATGTATTATTAAATATGTTATCTAATAAATGTGCAGCAGTGTTATCTGTTGTTTCTCTATATTGGTAGTGAAATACACAAACAGTTTATAAAACGTTTCTAAACTTTCTGAACATATGGTATATATTATCTCATATTTATACTCATTATTGCTATTATTATTGTTTATTTTGATTGTATAGAAATATTATATTGATGAAAAACGTCATAATTAGCTTAAAAATGTTTGTGTAGGAAAAAATTCGAACAATGTTTTAATATCCAGACAAGAATTATATGATATAATGAAAAGTTCTAGATGTAAAACTATTGATGAAACATTTAATTTAATAAAGATAGAAATAGAAAAACGAGTGAAAAATTGTGAACAAAATGATTTGAATAAAAAATTGTGTTATTTCAAGTCTGAATATAAATTTCGTTTGGAAACATAAAATAAAATCTGGTTAAGTGCTTCTATTAGCTTTTCTCTTTATATAAACAGAATAGTCGTGGTCGTCCAGTTGTTGCATTTGAAATGAGTAGTGAATGAAACAAGCGGAAAAAAACTCAAGAACTGAGAAATAATACGCCTGCAAATGTTTTAAGTCACGCGACGCAGATGAGCTTAAGAGCATCGGGACAAACTGAAGCAGCAAAATTACTAAAGGAATTAACTACATCCACCCCCACACGTGGAAGTAGATATAGAAAAGTATTTAAGGAGTCAAAAGCACCTAAAAAACTCTCGGGTGAAGATGCTTTAGCTATTATAGTAGATGCTAAACTATCACATCAGTAAAATATCTCTTCAATACATTAATGATAGTAATGATGATGATGATGACGACGATGATAATTATAATAACGAAGATGACGATGATGATGATGTCAATGATGACGAACACCAAGACTAATTTTACTTTACACTTTAAATAATACATTTTTCTTATTTTGTTAATAAATTGAATAGCTATTTCTGTAAAAATTACTTTAAAATAAATAAATACCTTATGTTAATATAATGTAAATGACTTTTATATGTCTGATAAACAATAATAAAAAATAATATTAATTTTGGGAAAACATTTTTTTGCCCCGTGATTTAATGCCAACTTTGAGAGCTCGTTGCCCCACTGTGCGCCGGGACGGCGACCGCACTTTACTCTTCTACCGCGACGGGCGTTTCCTGCACCGGCGTTCGACGGAAAGAAATCGAAAGACGGCGCGGGAGACCGTTCGCCGCCGCCGCCGCCGCCGCACCGGCCGGTCGTTTAACCGCCGCCACCCCTCGCGCCGTCGCATACACAATAATATACATAATAATACAATAATATCATACGCACGCTCGGCCGTCACACGCGTCCACCCGCGCGTCATCTGTGCGACCGACCGCGGCGTCCGCGGACATCGTTTCCGCGCGCCGGAAAACTGATAATTGAGCCGCCGGTACACCATAATTATTTCGCGTCGCGTTTACTCGAGTAGCCCGCGGTCATCGCGTTGTAATAATCGTATCCGTTACACGACGGGCCATCGTATAATATTATTATTATAACCACCGTCGACGGGTTCTCCGAGTGTTAATTAATAATGCCGCCGCGCCGATTCTGCAATAATACGGTTTCGGATTATTTTAATCGGCGCGCGTATTTAGCTAATCGGCGCCAACGTTAATGATTTGACCGCAACCGTAAATAGAATATAATCGGTAATAATGTGACAACACTCGCGTTGATGTTCCGCGGGCGCTTTATCCCAGCTCCGATTCGAGTCGACCGTTGTGCACAAGTGTACCGTCGATAACTCTGCGCGTTTCAGATTCCGAGTGGAACGATAAGAAGCTTATGGTTTTACAATGATGTTTATTGTTATTATTATTATTATTGTTATTATTTTTTTTTTTCTTTCGGAATCTTGTTCCGATTAACAAGCACGTTTTCTGAAGGGAAATTCGACTTGGGTGGTATTTTAAGGTAGTCGTTTTTTGTTTTCTCGGGAATTTTCTCAATAAATGGGAAACACCGGGAAAAAGTATGGGAAAACCAGGAAAATAGGTACGATATTAAACAAATATTTTAAAGAAAATGTTCAATGCATGTGTAATTGTTTTATCATAATAAATTGTCGACAACGCAACACTATCAACTAAACTCTGCTCAGAATCGTTTTGGTCAATAGTTAATCGTTGCTTACAAATACATTCCCGTATGCATCCTATCTTCCCAACTCCTCATCTACAGCAGTCACTACACCCGTTTTTATTTTTTTTTTCTATAACTATAATTACTTAAAACGAGATTTACATTACAATGCAGACGTTATATTTTAACAGGATTAACAAAACGAGTTTCCGCCAGCCAACCAATTGTCGTTGTTACAATATTTCATTTTTCTTTTTCTTTATTCGTATAATTGATCTGAAATCGATACGGGTACCACGGTTTCATTACATTTTAGTTTGTATACAGGGGTATTTAAAGCCAGCGGCGTTTTCCGTGAAAACGTGTAATTTGAGCATAAAAGTGGTTGAAAGTTGAAACCTCAAAATGTACATCCTTGATAATTACACCAAGCGCATATAAAATTACATTCCTCTGTCTCGGTTCGGAGGGGTCTGCAGAGGTGTACAAAGCTAAAAAAACACTCTCCTCTCCCAACAACATGATGAAATTTAGATTGAAATTCAACCAAAATGTTATCATTTGAATTCGCCTATGAAATAACTGTAATTTAACCTCAATGTTTGATCCAAACTTCCTTTGGGAGCTATAAAATCCGATAAAAGTTACAGTGAAATTATTATAAAAATACGGGCATACTTCGCACGATGGGTGGACCACTGTTGAAGATGAGAAGTTGAGAAGGTAAGGTATAGAGGGGAATTTAATGTGTATCTGTAAATAAAGATAATAAATCATTGCAACCGAAAAACGATTCTGAGCGGAGCTAGGTTAATAATATTGCTACTTCAACTATATATACGTAATATTATAGTAAATAAATATATTTTGTAACAATTCGTATGCAGTAACTAGATTTGTTCCGCATATTTTTTTACTACAAAAATTTCGTAAAATTTTATACTAAAATTCTAAAAAAAAAAAATACTACGTAAACTCAATTGTTTTCTCTTGACCACAACGTACAATTTTTGTTGAACTTCATCCTGTTCAATTTTCAAACATTTCTGTTTAGTCTAATAATTGTATTCGCCGAGTACCTATACAGAATAACAATTACGTACAAATTTTTTATAAAATTTCAAAAATGTTTTAAAAATTTGACCATATCGAGAAAAAGGAAATATATAATTTCAGTTCAAATTTTAAGTATTTACAAATATGTTTAACTGAATTACAACAAATAACAAAGTTTAAAATAATAAAAGCATTATTTTCTTAAATTTCCTGTTTTTTTTTTTTTTTTTTTTTAACTTTGTCCCGGCTTTTTCCAGATATTATGAAAACCAGAAAATCAAATGACCCCCTTGTAATACCATCTAGAAAATATTTTCTTTCAGAAATGGTGTGATACTTACATATTGGAGCAAGATTTCTGGTAGAAGTTGTTGTCACAGTATAAAAAAATAAAAAATAATAAACATCTGTAAAACCAATACATTTTTCGCTACTTTCAGAATCAAAAATAACTACTGTAGATTTCCGCGTTGTTATGCCATCATTATTGTTAAAACAAACATTCAATCGACAATAAATATATTATTGATATTTATTAGCGATTGAAATTTTAACACCGAGTTTACTTATTTTTATAACATATGCATTGTAATTTTTTATAAAAATCACGTGAATAATTGTTTCTATAATATCAAAAAATAAATTAACCACAGTAATCCACTGTAATAAATAACAACTATATCGCAAAATCAGTCAATGGGAATCTTGAAATCAGTGCCATACATGAGTGTAACGTCACGTATATTAGACAAATCCGACGATTCAATGGCATCTTTCAAAAGTTGTGTCACCGACACTGAAAGAGAAATCGAAAACAGCCGACCCTCCGTAAAGGCTTTGATCGAAAAACACAAGTCGTTCCAAAACCAAATAATGAACGCCAAAGAAACCAACTTTGACGTCAAAAATAAATCGTTCGCTAATGCTTGCGAAAACTTGAATACGTCGTACAACGATTGCTGCAGGAACATGGAAGGCGATACGCAACGGGTCGATAAAGTCGAAAACGTGGTAATATATTATATTCTCAATATTACTATTTGTTTCGGTAGGATATACCATATATTTTTCTTATGCGCAGAGTGATTCACTAAGCGTGTTAACCCAAATTTTTTGGTTAAATTTTGCACGTATTCGAATACTTAGATTTTTCACAACATTTAAGGAATATCCTCCAGTGGTAATACCAACTTTGGTTTATCAAATAAGAGCCTATATTAAACATTTCATAAATGGACGGCGTATGACTTTAAATACATTTTGACGTCATCATTTTTGATTTCCGTTAACCCGTTAACGAAATATTCCATNGACTTTTAAAATATATTTTAAGTAGGTCAGTTTTTAGTTTGCTCAAGATTTTTCCCAGCAAATGTGAAAAACCGTAGGAAAAACGGGAAAATCGGTACATTGAATAAATAATATTCAAGATATTATTTAATGTCTATTTAATTATTTTATCATAACATACATATTGTTGACAAAGTATCACTATAGATTTAACTTCGATCAGAATCGTTTTTCGTTAGCAATGGTTTATCGTTGTTTACAAGTATACATTAAATTGCCTATATAACAGTGCCTGTACTCGTCCCCCGTTTTCCTAGGACGACTTCTTTAAATGCGTAATTTGTGATTAATTTCTGAACGTTTAATCATCTATGCTTGGTGAATCAGATAATACTTTGGTTGTCACAGACAAGAAAACTACTGTTATTATTAATTACACTATTATTTAGTCATAACAAAACATTGCCGGTTTAGCTAATATAAATATACAAAAAAAAATTTAGCTATTATATTGTTTTCTAAATTTATTTTACTAACAAAATAAAATATTTTATTTAGGTCAAAAATCACGTGTTCGGAGTATTGAATGTTAAAATGTACGAAGGGAATGATACTGAAAAATCCGCTCAAGTACCGGATCACAAGTCGGTCTCGGAAAACTTTGATTTTAAAACTGGCACGCTTGAATTAGACGAAACGGTTAACGGTGAGGGTGAACAAATGTGGCAAAATATTAGGTCCTTGGTTAATATCAACCACGATTACTATCGGTGTTTGACGGACATTTTAGATACGAATAAGTTTAATAATCTCGATAGTATAAAAGATCACGTTGGTTCGGTGTTGAAACAAGGAAAGAAGGCGGAATCCGTCGAGCCCGATTTAATTGCCTATTGCCATACTAATTTGGAAAAAAATCGTCAGGTTACGGATAATCAACATGAATTAAACAATGATTCGATAACGAATGACCCGTTCTTAATCTATCATTCGAAATTGAGTGCACTTCAAAATGAATTGACGGAATCCAAGAAAAGTAAAAAGATCGCCGAAGGCAAGATCGCGTCACTAGAAAGGAAAAATAGAGACTTGTTGAATATATTGAACAGTTACGAAAATGAAAATGTCCACAGAGTATCGCTGGAAAGACACCTCAAGGCCGAACAGAAGAACAACGAAAAATTACGAGATATGATTACTAAAGATTTCAAACAGAAAATACCATCGTATAATATTTTTTCTTGAGGGCTACCAATACCGCGATATTTCCCTACCTCTCTCTCTATTAAACGTTTTACTTCAGCAGGATATTAATTTAGTCCATGTTGAATTATTCGACTCCCACCTTATTTCCCGTTCCTTATCACTGTGGTCAATCCATGTACCATAGAGTGCCTCGCTTACTTTTCTAGTAATATTTGCCATGCTTTTTGTAACCGGAAATTGATGGCAGTAACATTCGGCGATATTAAGAGCGCATATGATTCGATTCATATTCGATGCCTTCTTATTTCTAACTTGATCAACACATTCAATTCAATATTTTTTTTTTTTTCTTAGTATTCAATCCGTAGATTGGTCTACAATAAATGTTCTCTCCATGATTTTCTGTCTTGTGCTTTGTCTTTGAGTTGTTTGTACGAATCGACTCTTGCATCTTTAATTATTTGACTTATGTAACATGTTCTTGGCCTACCTCTTCCGCGTTTCCCTTCTATCATACCTTCCAGTATGAGGCTATGGAGTTCTTCATTATGTCTTAACGTATGACCTATCATATGCCATCGTCTTGATCTTAAATTATTTAGCAATGTTCTTTTCTCTTTGACTAAATCTAATACTTCGTTTGTCTTCAATTCCGTCCATTTTATTTTCTCCATTTTACGCCAACAACACATTTGAAAAGCTTCTAGAGCGGTTTCCTCTTTTTTGTTCAACGTCCATGTTTCACAACCATATAATGCTGTGCTCAATACGTATGTTTTAGTTAAACGATTTCTCGTTCTTTGATCTACATTTTTTGAAGTTAGTAATTTACTCTTAAGTAGAAATGCCTTTTTTGCTTGCCCTATTCTACTTTTAATTTCCTTTTTTGACCTTCCTTCATTATCTATTATACTTCCCAAATATTTAAATTGATTTATTTGTTCCATTCTTTTGCCTTTTATGGATATGTTAATGTTTGATTCATTTTGTTTGCTACATATCATTATTTTTGTTTTTTCCGTATTTATATTTAATTTGAATTCTAGAAATATGTTATCCATTTCAATAAGTGCTGTTTGTAGATCGTTTTCAGATGTGGCGAGCAAAACTATATCATCTGCAAAGCGTATCATTGATATTAATATACCTCCTATTACTACTCCTATCATTTGTTCTTCTAGCTTTGGTTTTATATCTCTTATCGCTAGTTCAACGTAGACATTAAATTAAGATGGTGACAGTGGGCACCCTTGTCTTACTCCTTTCTGTATATTAGATATTCAATATTATAAATAATAAATTTTATATTTTAAATTGATATTGTTTTATTGTAATTCGATTAATTATTAACTTTACATTTCAAATTGTTTAACGATTTTTTTAGGTGGTGCTTTTTGAATAAGTTTTAATCCATCGTATTCTTATTAGATCATCTGCAGCCACGCGTCTCTACTAAGTATAAGAAAATATTCAGTATATTGTATAATCTGTTTTAAAATATCTAAATAATTATAAAATAAAGGTAATTGTTAAAATAATTATTATCTAGATAAAGATAAATAATGATTTATATTTATCTAGATAAAAAGAAGAAAATTTGGTTCAAAATCAATCATAAAACTACGAGGTAAAAGTACTAAAATTGTACCAGATTCGGTAAACATCTAGATTTGCCATAAAGGTTGTTTGATTGGTATAACTTATTAAATTTTATTAATATACGTATTGTATTTAATCAAACAGGGTTGAGATTCTTTATCTTTTAAAGCAATGCGTGAAAAAATCATTTTTACTAAAGCGCGTATCTTATACAGCGAAACTTTAGACACTGTAAAACGAAAGTGAAAAGTTTTTCTTTAGGGAATAGTTTTTAAAATCATTGGGAACACAGTATTGAACACTTTCGCGGAAAAATTATGTTTGAAATATATACTACCAATTTGAATACTACCCATTAATGTCAATGGATCTTTTATATTTAGGATTTTCTTAATCAGTGGATCCTTATTTCTCCCCCCACAAATGGTTCTGTACATTTTAGTCGTCTTTTATTTAATTCTTACGCACTAAAAACAGGTACTGACGACTCTCTTCCGTTCTCGTCATGTGTTCACACTAACTTATCACGCGAACAAACAATTATTTTTAATATATTTTTTCCGAAAGTCGACAGTGTTTATGCTCATTTGATTTTCGATTTAATTCCTGTACGGCTGTAACGTGTGTCTTTTCGATGCGGTACTATTATCAGTACGTTGATGTTTATTAATTATTATTTTTTTATTTATGTGTATAAACGGACCGTTGTCCGATTAAAAAGTGGTACATATATATAGCAAATTATTATGCATCATAGTACAAAACAATATGAAATTTCAAACGAGAATGAGCTAATAGCATTTATATATTAAGGAATTCCCGCAGCTCGCTATATCGTACGCATTTTTTCATCGCTCGCGCCCCCTTCGCACGGTGTTCTACAGAGTCATTGTGGTGACTAGGTATGTGCGCATAATAACATAACGCCCGTTGTTTATACAGCGGTAATGGCGCAACAATATTATTGCCGTCCAATAAACGCGTTATTTTAAAACGCCTCGACACCGGAATAATAATAATAATAATAGCGACGCCTGTAATCTGTATACAGAGTGTAACAGGACTATTTGGCATTTTTACATGTAACTATAATGTGAAAACGTCAAACATCCGTGTTCAAGGGCGTCCATAGGGTAATTTCCAAATGGTGGCCGAAATAAAATTAGATCCCCATATCTACTTATGGCAAATAGACATTAGGTTGGCATTTCTTGAAAAGGAAATAGGAAGAAAGATTACGTAATTATGTAAACATTACCTTTACAAAAAAAAAAAAAAAAAAAACTGTTAAATGCTGAAATCAAGACATCGTATAATATTTTACTGTTTGTACATAGTTTACATTAAATACTATTTAGTAGATAATTAGATGGTTTGTTTTTAAATAATACAATTTTGACAAATAGCAATTAACATGTATCATTTTATAAGAATCACAATACTTAGTTCACGTTTATTTTTACGGATTCAATGCACACGCGGTTTTTATTTTATTTTTTGGCCATGTCACCCTCTCGTCCCCCTCCCCATGGGCACTCGCGGTTGTGTTACACCCTGTATACGTTCCGTTATTCGCACTGATAATGTAGTATTATTATTATTATACGCCGACCGTTGTTTTCCGCGGGCGGAATAATGGACCTGCAACGATATAATCGAATCCGACGCCAATATGTCTCGGGCGGCCGAATTTTTAAACGCCGACGAAAACACTGCAGCAGCGTGCGCGGTGGCAGATGGTTAATTATCGGGGAATATACTCACATTAAATATACGCGATGCGATACGACATATTATACGAAACCTCGAATAAAACATTCGATTCCGTATCATTAACGCCGCTCGGCAGTATAATATTATTATACGCGTATTATAGACGATGATTACGATTCGATTTGAGTTTTTTTTTTGTTTTTTTTTGTATGTTCCTTCGTCCTCCGACGATCCTTTTTGTTGTACGACCCTATACCCACCCCTCGTCTGTCCGTCCGCCCGTCCGTCGTCCCCGGATGTATAGTGTTGCTTGCGCGCGTATAATAATATATAATATCGCGTATAAACGCGTACATACGTACACGTATGCGCGTTTAATGTACGTATACGTACACGTATATAGGAGGGAAATTAGATTTATTTTTAAGTCAACACGAGGGACCGGTATTGTTTGATAATGGTCCGCTAGGGGATACTCTTTTATACGCCGTAATATATACGTATTATACAACATATACATAAACCGCAGTAAAACACCCTAAAGTGTTGACACAATGCGCGCGCGGGACGACGGTGCGGCGCGGGCACGCGGGCGATATAATATCGGAGTGAGCGTTACGCGCGTATGTGCGCGCGGACCGCGCGTGCGGCGGCAGCGAGGCCGCGGCGGCAGCGAGGCCGCGGCGGGGGGGGGGGGGAACGGCGTCGGGCGTGGGGTGGGCGCGCTCTCGCGTGATGGACCGTTTTTTAAAGTCATACGCAATGCGCGCTCGCGGACGCGGAGACGCCGATGTTCGTTGTCGAACAAGTGTTTGACGAAATCCCGCGGGGCCCGCAATGATATCGCATTGTATACGCGATACCGGCGGACCCGATGGCTAGAGAGAGAGAGAGAGAGAAAAAAAACCAACGATACGCGTATGATATATTATTAGCGATTGGGGGAGGGGAGCGGGAGGGACATTGTTAAACGCGAACCGTGAAATTAACGTTTGTCCGCGGGGCGGTCGGTCGCGCGGGTATCCGCGAGACATACCCGGCGAGCCGACCGACCGCGCGCCGGTCGTATGCGATAACGTCGAAAAGACAATAAAAAAAAATAACAATAATCTCGATAGTCGGCGCGGAACCGCTACTGTATCCATACGCGCGTCTATCGTTCAGTGGCGAACACAGACGGTTGCGCACACAGACGGGAAGGGGGTTATAAGGGGGGTAGGCGCGCGTACAAGGGAGGGGAGTTTGAACGCCAAACCACGAAATTTCGTGAAAATTACGATTTTTAATAGTCTCGAAAGTGGTTTCCGTCAGCGAAATGTCAGATAAATGCGATTTCGGTTTTATTTTTAAATCTTATTACTATAGGTATAATATATTTGTAATAACAATTGTCGTTTTTATTTTTTGTGGTTTTCCTGCTTTAAGAAAATTATAACTGATACGGCGATGTTGCATAGTCCGCACTGTCATCTCAATAATATGAATTATTGTAGGCTGTATTCACTAAAAAAATATCAAATGTAAAATGAAAAAACAAACTAATAATAATAAACATCTTTGTAAGACCATAAGCTTCTTCGTTCCATTCAGAATCTAAAAAAAATTAATGTTACGAAATATTGACATTTTCAATGAAAAATAAATAATTCTCCAATTGATAGTATGTAAACTTCTTTGTTATAAGAGTATGAAAGTGTACAATCTTAACCACTCCCCCCCCCAAAGTGCCTTCTTTCGCTACATTTTTTTTGAAATCTAGTTTTACATCCAACGACATAATATCGTATACCGCAGAATATAAACGAATTTAAACCCTGCGTGCGCTACTGGAACCAAACTATTATTATACCAAATCATAAAGGACCGAACGGCATGTGCTGTAAGTTTCAGCGCGCGAATAAAATCCGGTATACTTCCGCCACCTGGACCCGTCCGCGCTGACCGACACGTCGTTTTCGCCAAATCTCGTTGATAGTCGACAATCTACTACACTCGCCTGTTCGGTTAGTTAAACCGAATTTTAGAATAACGGCTTTTAGTTCCCGTAGCGTCTTCCCTTGCCGTATCCCTTTTTGTTCTGCGAATTATTTACCGACAGGCCCGCGTGCTACGAACGATCGATCAGATTGGCGAACGATAGAATCCGTCATTCCTATTTGGGAACTAAACCAGCCTCTGTTTAGCCTCAATTTAGGTGTTACTGTTTAATACACTATTGTAATTTAGTTTTAAAGTTACTATCCAAAACTCGTCTCGGACTCGTACCGTTTTTCAATAATAAATAAAATAAAAATACGATTTGATTATACATTAGCAGAGAGATAATTATACGCCAGAAAAAGCACCATACTTTATATTTATTTACTTTATAGGTATAAATAACTTGATTCGATAAAAATACGCAATAATAATTATTACTAATAACACGTTGACATTTAAACTATATCGTAATGCTTTCAATAACCGCCAAGTCAGTTAATAATATGACGAATCATATACCGGAGAAGAATGATAAGGCACAAAGAAAACGGAATGATAGGAATTGGTATACGGAATTTAATGTAGGATAAGATGTCAGGAACATCCCGCAAGAAACTGATGAGCACGAAAGAATGTATTTGAGGGTTCATGACCGTGCTATATTTGTACGAGTGTAAAAGTATATTTAATCTAAAAAAAAGTCTAAAAATCTTAAATCGTAAGTAAATATTACGAAGTATGTACGGAATACGATCTATGTATATTATAATATAATAAATATAAGGAATAGAGGAAATTTCTGTATTTGTTGGTCTGTTTGTGCGTAACCAACAACCGAGTT